AAGAGTTTCCCAAAAGCAGCTGACCTCCTTCCGCGGTACCTAGGCATCCTGGGCGTTGAGCCCAGGGACAGGGTGGCGCGGGGAGGAGGCAGCCCGAAATGGGGTTGCCGCGCACCCCGCTGCGGCTGGCAGAGCAAGCCAGCCCCACGCGTGCACTAAAGGAAGCTCCAGGGAAGCTTCCTTTGCTGCAGGCTTTGCCTCGTAACGAACTTGTATAACGTTTGCAGGCGCTTACGCGCAGCATGCCAAAGCCGTCGATAAGCTCCTGAGCTAACTCTGCGCTAACTCATGTTACACTTTGCTACGCTAGACACCGACATCTACAGGAGTCCGTGAAGCCGGATAGTCTACAGGGCTCCTCAGTAGCCGGTCACCGTCTCCAAATATCACCTAAACACGGCATATTGAAAAATTACTAGGGTTCAGTGCCTCAGCAGGTAGGAACCGCTTCTACTCCACTTGCGGTGTTGGTTGGGCACGCAGAATCTCTGCGTTCCAGGCGAAACTGCCTCGACACTGAGCAGACGGGTAGTAGTAATCATTGGAACCCCAACATTTGCATGTATTATGTAACTTTATAACACTTATAATTGTAACATTTATAATTTTAATGTGATTTACTCGCTACGTTCTGCTGCCCNTAACTTTATAACACTTATAATTGTAACATTTATAATTTTAATGTGATTTACTCGCTACGTTCTGCTGCCCGATGCCGTCCACGGGGGCCATTGTAGTGCCGGGCACAACACTTCGTGTTGTGTGTGCGGAGAGTGGCGCCTCCCACTGCGCTGTCATACCTTTCGTCCACTGCTACTGCAGCGCCACCGTGTAATATAAGATTTTCGTTGAACGGTTGTTAGGAATCCTGTTATTTGCCTATCCAGCATTGAGCTGTTTCCAGGCGGGTCCGGTTGCACTCGTCTCTTCATTGACAGAAAGACATGCAAGAAACGAATATACAGATGGCAAGCGCAGACAGGTCCGTTCTATAATACTTGCGACATTAACAAGTTGCAAGAATATTTTTTAAGAAATTACATCTATTACATTTCCCTTATCAATGCAACAACGGAGCCCCCGGCTGACGGGCGTGCGCTACCAAAGGAAGCCAGGCACATTCAGCTGCAACCGCTTCCACCCAAGTTGCCAGTCAGGGGTTGCTACTCCCCCCGCCGCCTCTGACTCAGCCCACCTGGGACCTCCTTGGCATCGCCGAGGGCTGCGCGTCTGGGACGCGCTGTTGCTGTTTTGTCTTCTGTTTTTATTGACACCTGCAAGTATGGAGGCATTCCTCCGTCCCGCGTCTGCGTACCCTCCTCTTCTTCAGGCTCTCCAAAAAGGGCCTCTGAAGGTCAGTGAGCGCTTCGGATGCCTTTGATTCGTTCAGCTGCTGGGATGGTAATGACTTGCACAGGTAGACTTCCGCGCGCGGTATGCGTCGTGTCTTTCTCACTTTTTGTCATTAAGTCATTTTTCAGTGATGTCAGGGAGCACAATGCGAGTCAANCGTCGTGTCTTTCTCACTTTTTGTCATTAAGTCATTTTTCAGTGATGTCAGGGAGCACAATGCGAGTCAATGGGGCTTACGTGGCTCGCAGCGGTCCTTTGAGCTAGCTGCTTTTATGATTTGCCTTAGCTGCCTCGCTTTTGAGTTTTTGTTCCTCGTGCGGCTTCGGAGGTTCCTCGCACAGGGATAAGGCTCCTTCAGCTGTACACAGATGCAGTTCTGCCGTCCAGGACGACGTGAAATGGGCTGTAAGCTGAAGCTCCTGCGATGCGTTTCCTAATGCAACTTGGCTGCCCCTTCAACTTGTCTCTTTTGTCGTTTCAGGTCTCCCTGGTTGGCTCCGGTAATTGGGGAACTGCAGTTGGGAAGATCGTCGCCTCAAATGCGAAAAATTCGCACATATTCAATACAGATGTGGGGCTCTCATACTCTCCCATGTGGATCTGCGTTGGTTAGAAGCAGTTCATTACTGTTTTGAGTGGCATATGAGGCATACTACACCGACATCTTCATCATTCTCATCTGAGCTCGTGTCAGTGGAACCTCGCGAAGTGCAACATATTGCTGTATGAACAAGAGCTGCAGCTTTCTTCTGTCTCTTT